TGGTAGCATGTAGATGTTAAAGAGAAGAGGCCCCGAGATGGAGCCTTGAGGAACCCCACGTCATATTTGTCAACTCAGAAATGGCAGGTTTGTATATGGGCCTGTAATTGTTCATTACTGAAGCATCGAGATTATTATTTTTTAAGAGCGGTTTAATGACTGCAGTTTTCAGGGCCTGTGGAAAAATACCTGAGTGAAGAGATTTGTTTACTATATGAAGTAGATCTGAGGCCATGCAAGGAAAACATCTTTGAAAAATCCTGTTGGAATAATATCAAGGCAGCAGGAGGAGGATTTCAGAAGTTGAATAATGTCCTTTAGGTTTTTATCATTACTCTGATGGAATTGTGTCATGGTGTTTGAATTGATTTTAAGTGGACATAGGGACAACACATTTGCTGTACCTGATGCAGAGGCACTGACTGCTTGTCTGAATTTGGTCAGTGAAGAAGGCAAATTCATTGCTGGCCCTGGTGGATTGACACTGGGGGGTTTGGTAGTCTATTGACGGTAGAAAAAAAGGCATGTGCGTTGTTTTTGGTAATGATGTCAGAGAAGAAAGACTGTCGTGCGTTTTTCAATTCCAAATTATGAAGGCCAAGTCTCTCTCTATAGATTTCAAAATGATCCTGGAGATTTGTTTTTCGCCACCTACATTCAGCTTTCCGACACTCTTTTTTCTGTTTTCACGGTCAAGGCCTTTCTTCACATTTAAGCATGTCTATTGAGCATAACACACACAATATTACCCATATTTGCTCAGTGCCATTTGTGTTCCCTTATTTTACTCTCCTACACTCAATTGACTTTTGTTTGGCCTCTTCTTCAGTGTTATAATCACAGCTTGCCACGCAGCTAATCTTTATCTGGCATGGTTAGGATTTAATCTTCTTACCTACTCACCTGGACCACGATCAATAGTCAGTGAGATCACAGCTGTAAATTAGCCATTACGGTGATTTACGTCAGTGAAACTCCCGCTGACTGCAGAGTGCCAACATGCTGCTGACACTAGCCATCGGTCCCCAGAGGAGGAGAGTTGAACCAGAGCCCTTCTCTCTCTGTCTGTGTGTCTCGCTCTGTGGCGCCAGCTCCCTGAACTCCTGCCTTCCTCACTCTGTCACTGAGGCAGAGGATAATCAGGAGCAACGCACTTCTTTTATTAAGACATAAAGCCAGTGTCAACCTCTGGATATAATTTATCATTTGCTCCCGAGTAATAATGGCAGACCTTGTGGCTGTATGGATTTTTAATAGAATGTTGTAATGACCATCGGTAACAGTCTTGCAGATTTAAGACCTGGTATCAACCTGCTGCTACTGACCAAGAGTTTGGGATTTGTATATTAACCTGTTAAGCCCTGAGCCTTTTTTTCAGGCTCAGAGCTTAACAGGTTAATATTCATCTAAAGTAACAGACAGAGAATCAGCACTTTTGAAACAGGGCTGAAGCAGAGGGGATTATGGGATGCTACAATCATCTGTTTGGTGTTTCGAGCCAAACACTTCAGAGACATGTTTTGTATATATCTGAGACCTATAATATATTGATGATGACAGTATAATAGGGGACCTTTAATATCACAAGCAGCAGCACAAAGTGGGCCAGGTTTACTTTTGTTGTAGTGTTTACCAATGAATTGATGCATTGATATTGTCGTGAGAGCTTTCAAATCTACCGACGCTGCCTTTGTGCATGTGTCCTGTTTCGCACGTAGGGTAACTCTTGGTCATGAGCTTGTGGTCTGTACTAATACTCCCAAAGAAAACACAAGCAGAGCATCCTGTACGTTGAAGAATGGACATTTAATTAACAGGCAGCCAACAGGAGAGACGTTTCACTGAGTAGACATTACTTGAGTGTTATCTCCGAAGGCGTAAAGGACAGCAACCTCCTCCACATGCGGGAGAGATTAGAAATGAAACCACACTTTAGAATGATCTCTTCTCTGGGATCCTATACCTCCCTGAACAGGATTTCAAAAAATGAACAGCTGAATAAACTTCATGAAGTCATGAGTCCAACCAGAATTGCAGATCTTTGCTTAATTATACTCGATAAGTAAACTTGTAGAAAAAAAAGAGGCTTATAACTATAGTTGTTTCCATTAGGTAATGTGTCTTGTCATATTATAATTCACAGTACATTTGTTGGAGAAATGCGTTTATTTGAATTTCCCGAGGAGATTTGTGCCCTTTTTTACATTTGTCAAAGAATAATGCTACAGCTTAGTTTAGTATTATTACTGGAAATGGAGACAGATAGCCTGACTGTGTCCAAAGGTAACAAAATATGCCTTCCATTACCTCTGGTTCGATTTGAAGAAATGAAAACTTACTTTTTTACAGGGTTTTGTGCCAGATTATTTCTTGGCTTGAAAAAGTAACCTTCTGTGGTTTCCTTTGATTGTCCGATCTCTTTAAGCAGTTTCCATTTCACTTAATTTCCATTTTTACTTGACAGATATACAAAGGGGGTGAGAATATTCTTATCGTCACAAACATTTTAAAACGCCTATTTCCTATGATTGTCAAACCATGAGATAAACCGAGCATCAATGACGGTGTCAAATATGCATTTTGATGATGAGGTGGACGCAAATGTTGCAATTCAATATTATCACAAAGGCAAATACAAAGAGAAGTAAGAGACATTTGTGCTTTAAAAAAATGATTGGTGGCGCTGTCCGTACGGACTCACGAAATGTCCAATTATTGTACGAACAGCATCTGCATTCATTCAGAAGGGGTTTCCAGCAAGAAACAAACAAGATGCCCCCAAAAATAGGCTCATCTTGGTATCAGATGTTTCCCCTGAGAGTGTTTGGACATTGTTGCCTCAGTTTTCCCAATACTGCCCCAGAAGAGACTCCATTAAATCCCAGCATGTGGTTCCACTCAGAGTATAATGTGTGTGATTTACCCACGATATGATAGTGGAGGAAGGCCTAACAGCTCGGCCTCTGCACCATTCACCTCTCTCACCTCAGCACATGATCTCATGCTATACTGTAGATCTGCTGGAGGGGGATTTGCTTCAGGGCTTTGAGCCCCACAGGATGCATTCATGAGGATAACATTTTCTATAACCAAATCTAATTTCCGTGATGTACGCATTATGATATTACATTATATCTTTCATATAAAGTAGATCCATTATTCCCATCGGGGGTCTCAAGTTATATTTAGCATTCGCATCAACTTGATCCCTAAGGTCTTGATCATCTTTTCCACCTAATGTGTCCAGAAGACAAAAAAAACAACCTGAAAACTCACAGGAGGTAAAAGTGATGCTCAGGAAAGCCAGGAGAATCCAAACTGCAGTGAAGATTTGGTGTAGAAACCAAAATGGGATTTAATTTGGGTTTCGATCAAAGTCCTTAAACATGTAGGATCATGAACCTGAAACTGATTGTGTAGTCAGATATAAAGTGGAGCCTTTTTGTAAATATAATAGCTTGACCCCGTTTGTATGGCTTGTTTGCACTCATAACCGCTAACACTGTTTTACTTTTGTTCGACATGATAAAGACATTTAACATATTCAAACGTCAGGACGAAGACATTTAAAGTCTCTCTTGCCTCCTTCTGAAAAAGCTACGGTCGGCAGATTTAAAAAACATCTTGAGGAGCCACTCAATTTCCAAATCCACAACAAATGACTGACAATCAGCCTTACTGTATATGAGCAAACGGATGTCGGCATGATTTACACCCATGGGCTTTCTCCATTGGCAGTGAGTGGGAGAGTGACTGTGTGGACTCTTCCAAGCATGTGAGTGTTGGCACTGACCAGATGGGTTGCGTTGTGAATTGAAATGCAAGCTTGTAAAAGCCTGATGGCTGCCAGGGATCAGGCCTTCCCTATATGCTGTAAGCCTTGACAGAAAAATACCAGAAGGTTTTCCGAATACTGGCTGATTAGAACATATCGCCTTTGAGGTTTCCATGGAGAGGAAGGAAACATTCCCAGGGTGCAGTATATGTGGGGAGTGAGTGTGTAATAAACAGGCTTTCTATAGCCTTTAGTCTGCCCTGATGATTTACAGCCTGCTATCATGAGTACTGAGCAAATCCTGGGCTGTTCTGGTTATCAGATTATTTTCTCAAGGAGGTATGCAGTTGCTGTCACATATATACCCAGAGATACAACTCATGTCACACAAAGCAAGAAACAGTAACAGTGTTGCAAACGTTTCAATTAATTTGTTAATGTGAACCGATTAAACATCGACCTACAATCTTATTTAAGAATAGTTATTAACTTAAATGTAGACAGTTATTCTTACAAATGACTTGCTATGAAATGGATAATGACTGCATGCACTGTAGGGTAATGTAATCCTCACAGATCTCTCTCATTAAGGGTAAGGCTGGTTCCACTATCAACAACTCTTTTTATGCCAGCTGACATGCTTGACTATACCAGAAACATGTCTCGGTCCACCAATGATATCTTCTCACGCAAAGACAAACACGCATCTATCAAGCTGTCAGCTCCACAGTATAGTGACCTTCATCTACAGAAATGCTCTCAGATGTGGACTCTTGGTCATCAGGTTTAAAAAGGCGCCAGTGTTTTGCTTTTGCCCGCTTTTCCCTTTTGTGAATGCACTTGTAATTACACAGCATCCTGTCAGATGAGTGACAAAGTGACCCAGACAAAAAAAAAAGGAAAACATTTAAACCTACTGGGAATGGGACACACTGTAAAAGGGAAGCGTGTATGTATTAGACCCTCCAGAAAAACGCGGGCTAAAATCCTTGATTATGCGATTAAATATGCGGGGTTTTTATGTGTTTTTATGCGGTGAAATTGCGGGAAGTTGCGAAATATGCTAAATATGCGGGGGGAAAGAATAACAATTTTTAAAAATATTGGGCTGTCTTATTTATTCTCTCTCACACACAACCTGCCACTAACGTTAAACCCCTTTACTATTCAATTAAACACATTCAATGTTTATTTATTGTAAAAGCAATGGGGCTATTTTAATCTCACACCCCCNAGTGCTGTGGTTTGGACGAAAGCCTGACTGGAACACATCCAAACAGTAATTTAATCATTGAAAAAGTTGTTTTTCACTAGTTGAGTAATTACTTGCATTTAAATTACTGTTTGGATGTGTTCCAGTCAGGCTTTCGTCCAAACCACAGCACTGAGACTGCTCTTGTAAAGGTCTTCAATGACATCCACTTCAGAACTTCAGTGTTAGTATTATTAGATCTCAGTGCTGCGTTTGACACTGTTGACCACAACATATTATAGACCGACTGGAAAACCAGGTGGGACTTTCATCAACAGTTCTAAATTGGTTTGAATCCTNAATAACTGTTTCGATTTGTTCCAGTCAGGCTTTCGTCCAAACCACAGCACTGAGACTGCTCTTGTAAAGGTCTTCAATGCATTACAGACAGTGGCAGAACTTCAGTGTTACATCCTAGAGGGCATCAGTATTATTAGATCTCAGTGCTGCGTTTGACACTGTTGACCACAACATATTACTAGACCAACTAGAAAACTGGGTGGGACTTTTGGAAACAGTTCTAAATTGGTTTGAATCCTACTTAAAGGACAGAAAAAACTTTGTTTCTATAGGTAAATACACATCTGAGTTGACAAATATGACACGTGGGGTTCCTCAAGGCTCCATCTTGGGGCCTCTTCTCTTTAACATCTACATGCTACCACTGGCTCAGATAATGAAGAACAACAAAATAAGTTACCATAGCTATGCGGATGACACACAAATGTATGTAACAATTTCACCAGGAGACTATGCTCCAATTCCAACACTGAGTAAGTGCATTGAACAAATCAATGACTGGATGTGTCAGAACTTTCTCCAATTAAACAAATATAATTGAGGTAATGGTTTTTGGAGCCAAGGCAGAACGTATAAAAGTTAGCGCTGAGCTTCAGCCTGCAATGTTCAAAACAGATAAATCCAGAAATCTAGGTGTAGTCATGGACTCTGACCTGAGTTTCAACAGTCACATTTAAACAATTACTAAATCAGCCTACAATCACCTAAATAATATTTCTAGGATTAAAAGACTAATGTCACAGCAGGATTTGGAAAAACTTGTCCTTACTTTTATCTTCAGTAGACTCGACTACTGTAATGGTGTCTTCAAAGGTCTCACCAAAAAATCTATTAGAAAGCTGCAGCTGATTCAGAACGCTGCTGCTCGAGTCCTCACTAACACTAAGAAAGTGGATCACATCACTCCTGTTCTGAAGTCTTTACACTGGCTTCCTGTGTGTCAAATAATTGATTTCAAAATACTGCTGCTGGTTTATAAAGCACTGAATGGTTTAGGCCCAAAATACATTTCTGACCTCCTGCTAAATTATGAACCATCCAGAACTCTCAGGTCTTCAGGGACTGGTCAGCTTTCTGTCCCCAGAGTCAGAACTAAACATGGTAAAGCAGCGTTTAGTTATTATGCTGTAGAAGTGCGTAGCAATTGCTTGTGAAAATGTAATAGGTTTGAACACATTATGAACATCATGTTCAATATATAAGTAGTTATAGGAATCAGTTCTAGGAATCAACTCCCTCCAAATGATCGCGACCTAAGATACAAAATATTTTATTATGTGGCACCACGTGAGATTGAATCCAGTTAAGTGGCTTTTTTTTTCTGTCTATAAATACTACATTTGTATTACCAGAAGTGGTCAAATTGTTCCAAGCAAATGCTCTGTCTATCCACAGCAAACACAGCAAACCCCATACTGCTCCAATATTCTAACATTAGTGAAAAATCTAACACTGTGCAGACGTTACCTGCAGTGACATACTGACATGCTCCAATACACAGTGTGTACAGTCTAACATTTTCCAGACGAAAGTCAAAGCCCAGGGCAGTAAGTGAGCAATTTGGGCCTTGCTTAATAAACAAGGTGTACTACCAATTTTCTCTTGTTGCATAAAGTCCACTGTATAAAAATTAAGACAGGTGAAGTCCGTCAATCAGCCTTAACTTATTTATTTTTCTACTAAGGACATGAAGTTCTTATTTCGGACCACAAACCCCTGTAACCAATGTTTCCAAGGACTTGTCATGTTCATTTGAAAGCACAGTACCTGTAGCCACAGTGTATCAAGGCAGGGTATTGTATCTTGATTTGCAGCGCACCACCCACATAAAGTGGCGTCATTATAGAGCAAGTCATTTATTGTATTTTAAGCGTCAGAAGGGAAAGCTCTCAGTCATTTTTGGGAAAAAAATAAGCTGTTTTCGTTGCAGCTGCGGTGTAGGACTTATTTCCTTTGAATAAGTGATTCACCTGATACAACACATACAAGTCAACACCCAGTGTGCTGCACTCATTTTACCTTGTGCACATCCTTGTTTTCTAAGAACATTTTGACTTGTATTCATCCCTTAATCTCTAACCTTAGTGTGACCCTCACTACTTTCCCTTAAAGTGGCCCTATTGTTCTTTTGGGAGGTTTTCTCTTTCCTGTAGTGTCATGTAGTGTCATGTGTTTTTGTGCATGTCAATGGTCTGCAAAGGCTAGTTTTGCTAGTTTTTGTGAGTTTCTCTCCCTCTGCCCCCCCCCGACCTCCATTGGACTCCTTTGTTTACTTTCGTAACATAATGACTTCACTATGTAATACTCGTGCTTCTATTGGCTAGCGCTCCAACACATTGTAAGTGACATCTCTATGCGGTTGACCAATCACAACAGATTCAACCAGCTAACCAATCAGAACAGACTGGGCTCTGGTTTCAGACAGAGGGTGAAAAGAGGTGCTGCAGCACAGGCAGTATGATCATATAAAAAATAAATACCTTTTTGAACATTACAGTATGTAAACATGTCCCAGTAGAAGAACAAAATATAAATATGAAAATTAACTCAATAG